GAATACAGAGGAAATTATTATACTAGAATAAAGAACAAAATGCTTCTGACCTGTACAGTCTCATTAAGCACAGATCAAGAAACACAACCCAAAAGGCAGCATAAAGATAGCATAAACATCCAGCTTCTCACATCAATAGGTTGGCTTATCTAGTTGCTCTAGTTTGCAGAGATTTCTTTGCAGTGACAACAAACGGGTGTACCTTGCCAGAGGTGAATACTCTGGCTTCAGTCAGTTTAACGATTCCCTCCTTCCCCTGACAAACATGAGGACACAGCATAAGGTTAGGTAGCACACTGCATTTTAGAAATCTCATGTGATATGGGAATTATATGCAACATGATTGTCTTCAGAGCTACAAACACAATGCAGTCTGTAGGGCTGGACTCCTCTTCTTCCTCGTGTGGTTCTCCTACCAATGAAAGGTAGCACACTTTTCAAATGAAAAACAAACCAATCTTTGACCAGTCTTGAGTGAAATGAGTAGTAATTGACGGGGAATATCTTTACGAGAGCATTTATTTAAGAGTTTTGAATGCTGTCTTGCAATGTTGATAAATCACTGGTATTTTATTTTTAATGGAAATTCTTTAAGAATGGAATATTCCTGTTTGTGGTGTACTTTGTACATGTACTAAGTAGGAATCTCACATAGTATATTTCATTTCACCAATTAAAATCTTCCCCCTTTCTCTGTTCCTCCTCCTCTGCATTGCTGTTCCTTCCCCACATACAGAGTTAACTAATACTCGGTGTACGTGTTTAATAAAAGGAAACAAGTTCATTTTGCTTCACTGCTTTAAAAAAATGACTACTATGGCCAAGGGAATGAAAAAAATTCATAAGCAAAACCAAAAAGTAGCAAATGTCGAGAACAAATTCCAGTGACCGAGGTAATACAAAATTGTTTCATGATAAGTACGAACATTAACAATTTCGAACATCTAAAAATGTAAGATTAGCAATTTGAAAAACATTTATCTAGATGAGATTGAAAATTATACATGAAACATAATGACCTCTCTGAAATTCATTCAGGATGCTGTGGTACTCATTTAGACAAAGAAGACAACTAGTTCATCATGGCAATGAAAACTAGACAGAGTAAATTAGTTTGCTGCATTCTGGAGTCTTAGCTACGAAAAAAGTATGTTTCACTAATTAAAGAGTGAAAATGTCTAAGCCTTTAGAAAGACAATGCAAAGGGAGTGAAAGAGAATGATCCTGGCTTTGTGCATCAACCCATGGTGTTTGCCTTATACAATTCTACGACTTTATCAGTTAGGCAGCTTAGATAAAGAGATCTTCAACTTTGATTACATTGATTATATACAACATATAGTTCATAATGAAAATTATCATGCATGGCTTCAATCCCTAATTTTCATGGACTCTTGGAGCCTCTAATAAAATGTAAATAAATTTAATTTAAAACCCTACATGTTTTAAGTTTTTAAAAAAGCTAGAAACTTCAAAATTTCATTAAGAAGTTAACAATCCAATTTTAATTTTTTAGAGGATTATTTTCTTGATTGTACTGTAGATATTTTTATTTTAATCATTATGGTTTTATATTTAATGATACTGGAGTGTGCCTTCTAGATGTTTTATGTTATTTAAATTACCTAGAGAAAGTGAAGTTCAACTGCTTGTTTCTTGGGGTAAGAATTTTGTTTTATTTGAACATCATCAGAATCTGTACATTATTTTACGTAGTAAAAGCTTTATGTAGTACAAGACTCAGCAATTCAGTCCATCACACAACAACCGGTGAAATACGAATTGGATGCTGCCCCCACTTTAGGAGAAACCCTCAAGGCCATACAGCAGGTGAAAATCGGCAAGGCAGCTGGGGTTGATGGAATTCCACCCGAAGTCTGGAAACATGGGGGCCTTGCACTCCATGCTAAATTTCATGAGCTTGTGGTGCGCTGTTGGGAACTAGGCGAACTACCTTCAGACCTTTGTGATGCAGTCATCATCACCTTCTATAAGAAGAAAGGTACTAAATCAGACTGTTCAAATTACCGTGGTATTACTCTGCTCTCCATTGCTGGCAAAATCCTGGCAAGAATACTCCTGAACAGACTAATACCTGCTATAGCAGAAGGAATTCTACCTGAAAGTCAGTGTGGCTTCAGAGCCAACAGGAGCACCACAGACATGATATTTGTTCTCAGACAACTGCAAGAGAAGTGCAACAGAACAAAGGTCTCTATGTAACCTTTGTCGACCTCACCAAGGCTTTTGATACTGTGAGCAGAAAAGGTCTTTGGCAGATTTTGGAACGTTTAGGTTGTCCCCCCAAGTTCCTTAAAATGATCATCTCACTTCATGAGGATCAGCACGGCCAAGTTAGATATGGCAACACACTTTCTGAGCCCTTTCTAATAAAGAATGGTGTGAAACAAGGCTGCGTTCTCGCTCCTACCCTATTCACAGTCTTTTTCAGCATGATGCTCCAAAGGGCCACGGCAGACTTCGAGGATCAGGACGGTATCTACATACGATATCGTACTGATGGAAGCCTATTCAACCTAAGGCGACTGAAGGCCCACACCAAGACCTTAAACCATCTTGTCCGGGAGCTGCTTTACGCTGATGACACCGCCCTTGTTGCCCACACAGAAGCAGCTCTGCAGCGTTTAACATCCTGCTTTGCAGATGCTGCTGAGCTCTTTGGGCTGGAAGTCAGCTTAAAGAAGACAGAAGTTCTCCATCAACCTGCACCTCAGGAAGTCCCCCATCATCCCCACATCACCATTGGCCAATCAGAACTCAAATCAGTCCAACAGTTTAATTACCTAGGCAGCCTCATCTCCTTGGACGGTAAGATTGACGGGGAGATAGATAACAGATTAGCAAAGGCATACAGTGCTTTCGGAAAGCTTCATGAAAGAGTTTGGCGAAATAAACACTTGAAGAAAAGTACCAAGATCAGTGTTTACAGAGCCATAGTGCTGTCTACTCTCTTATATGGCTCCGAATCATGGGTCATCTACCGCCACCACCTGCGTCTTCTAGAACACTTCCATCAACATTGCCTTTGTACAATCCTAAACATCCACTGGTCAGATTATGTGACCAATACATCAGTTCTTGAACAGGCAGCAATCACAAGTATTGAGGCCATGTTGCTGAGAACACAGCTGCGTTGAGCTGGGCACGTCTCTAGGATGAAGGACCACCGCCTCCCCAAGATCCTGCTTTACGGTGAACTTGCCACTGGCTGCCGCAAGAGAGGAGCCCCAAAGAAAAGATACAAGGACTCCCTGAAGCAACAACTCAGCCTTGGCCATATTGACCACCATAACTGGTCTACTCTGGCCTCCAGTCGGGAGGCCTGGAGACAAACCATTTATAACGCTGCTGATGCTTTTGAGAAAGCGCGCAGGATCACCCTTGAGGAGAAAAGACAACGCAGAAAGAATCGAGCCTTGCAGAATATACCACCTAAGGAGTCTTTCTGCTGTGTCTTTTGCAACCGGACATGCCTTTCTCGTATTGGCCTTTTTAGCCACCAACGCGCTTGCAAGAAACGTGGGTAGAGCCCTTCCCAAATCTTCGTTCGCGAAGCCTAGCCATGGAAAGCTTTATATACAGTTCTGAAGTACGGTGGGATTTTTTCTTCCTAGAAGAAGATTTAAAATTTTCAGAATTTTTGTTCGAACAAACATTTCAGTATAGAATCAGTACTAGATTCTGTGCTTGAAAAAGATATACATAACTTTGTCTCTAATTTAATCTCTAATATCTTTAATATATTCTCTCTAATAAATTTATCTCAGACACCTTTCCGGTGCCTGAGTCTGCTCCAAGACCAAGTCCTTGTACATGTAAATGTAATTTTGCTTTTAACTGTAGGGGGCTGAGGATCAGGTCCTCTCTTTCTTTATGTTTTGTATGAGCAAAATTGATTGCCATTGAACTGAATGGGAACAAGATTAAATTCTGCATGGTTCCAACACCATAGTTCTTTTTATAAGTACTAGAGTTTTACAGGACTTCTATATTCATACAGGCAGTGTGTATGTTTGAGGAAAACTGTGATGTTTGGCCTCCTTTGGTGCTGCACATCAGCAAAATATCTTCTATCTTTTTTGTTAAACATGAGATAAGCTGATAAAGCAAATTACTTTTTCAGTCTCTCACATTTTATTACATTCTCTCTTAAACATTTTATGTGAGAATCAATGGCTCTGTAATGCCTGTATATTGGGTTGGGGTTTTTTTAATTTCAAAAAGTCCTTGTTTGTGGCTGATGTTTATTAGAAAACTTAATGTCTATATGTGCATGCATGCAGTGTGCATGTATGTATGTCTGAGTGTGAGGCAGAGGAAGACAGTGTCCCCTTTGTTTCATAAGATCTACTTCTTAAATTGTCTCACACTTTCAAAAATGTCAAGACCAAGTATGGAAACTTCAGGTCTAAAGAGAGAATGTCCTAGAAAGGTTTGAACTAATGAAAAAGAGTGGACTTAGTCTCTTAATGAGGTTGTTTTCATCACCAAGTCATGTCATAATCAGATAGTGTGACAGATTATTTTTTAAGCAGAATTGCAGTCAGTCATATCAAATCAGCCTAAAATGTGATTTTGGTTCTAAAATATTATTTTTCTTTTTATGTGCATTTCAGAAACATATGCAATAAATATTTAGACTCTTAATTTACTACACATCAATCTAAAAATCTGCTTTGCTGTCATCCTCAGAATTAATTTGCTTAATTGTTATTCCTACCCCATCAATCTCAGTTTTGCACTAACTTGAAAAATGCCACTTTTTGCTGTTTGCACTTTAGTTCAATTTCTATTCTAAGTTTATGAACAGTAATAGGGTACTGCTTGAATATTCATTAGCTTTGTATTGTGAGTTATGAAAAGGTGCTTTCTTTTACCTTAATGAAAGTGGCTCAGCATGGGGTGGATCAGTAATGACATTTGATTTTAGGCATCCGACAAATTTGCTTTTTATTTATTGACACATCTTGTCCAAACAGCTCCTTCGCAAGTTAGCGGAGTAATGAAAGAAAGAGTGCTGCAGAGGAGCGTGGAGCTTTCCTGGCAGGAACCAGAACATCCCAATGGAGTCATTACTGAATATGAAATCAAGTATTATGAGAAAGTAAGTGCTAAGATTACCTGTAATGTACAACAATGTGTTGTTTGCTTTATGTTGGTTTGCTGTGTTGTGAAACAGTATTAAAGGCATCAGCTATCAACTGTCCTGTCTCTCCAAAGTCAGTGATTTTGTTTATTTTTAATAACTAGCTAAATCCTGCAATTATTATTGCTATCATATGTCTCATATATTGTGTTGTGGCATACTAAAAATGAAATATACACTTGAAATCTGCTTTTTTTCCCCTTTTTTTTTAAACTGTTAAGTTTGACTTAGATATTTTACCATTATACTGTTGTTTTTCTGTCTCCTCTACACTATGTTTGAAGCTTGTTTCATTTCCTTCCGTATCACTGTAATTCTAATCTTGAGGTGGTGTATCAAATACAACTCCTGACTGCACTTTGTATTTCCATATGAAATGGGCAACTGGGCAGCTTCGACTTAATGTCTGAAAATTTCCAAAACACTTCCTACAGTTTCAGCAAATAAATATTTTTTGTTTGTCCTTTTAAAAAGGACCAACATTGTGAAATTTATTTTTCACTTGTTCTCTCAACACAATAATGAATTGAAGGCTGCTTTTCAATAGTAGATGAAGTGATCTCTGTTTCTGGTAGAGTGAAATTGCAATCTTACCGATGTCAAGTCGGAGTTTTGCCATTCATTTCAGCATGTCTAAGGCTTCATTCATGATAACTTTGAAGTACTTCAGAATAAAAAAATTCTGACAACCGTAAGCTGGATGAAAGCAAAGTGAAGGCAGGTTGTGCAGCTATATGTTTTTCACAGGACCCAGACTGTGTGTGTCTACTCCAGATTCCCTGGGAAATTGACTTCATAACATAACATACTCCTTATTTTTATAAAACATTCTGTGAAAAACAAAGAACAAATTAAAATTAAAAAAAATTTACAAAGGAGCTCCTTTGTGATCATTCGTGAAGACATTTCATGTCTGCAAACAAGGTAATAGTACCTCCATATCAAAAAGACCATGTCAGTTTACTAGGTAACACGGAATTAGGTAAATTCAGACCAGATTGGATCTAATCTCAAGTGTCATATTTGATTTTCAGTGCTGAATTACACAAATATACTTATCAAAAGATCTTTATATGATTTGGGAAAGCAATACAATATTTATTTGTTGATGCTAACTTCCAGTTTAAGTTGTTAAAAACTCTTATGACAAAATTTATCAGATCTGTACAGATAATTAAGCAAGTCTTTTAAAGGATTTTTACTAATTTTAGCAGGTAATTTTTGTTCTGACAGCATTTGTGTGTGCATACATCCATAACTAAAGTCCACATATTTAAAAAGAGTTTACAAGGGCAATACTGTCCTCTGCGCAAAAAAAAAAGTTGCAAATCAAAAACCTTGGAATTTTTTTAATATACAGAGCAGTTTCTAATCTCTTAAAATACAGTAAATAATTTAAATAGGTAGTGTAAAATGACAGAAAAATTATCAATATACTAGATTTTTTGTATGCTAGCTTTTAGAATGTGGCTTTTAGAATATTATTTTCCCTATATATCCATGTTACTTTAAATAACCAGGAGAATTTCATTGCCAGTTTACTGGGTTTGCAAAGAAAAGAACTGATGTTGAAGTTCTTTTGTAATAGAAGAAAATCTCCTAGTATTATCCTTATTACAGTGAAATTAATAAGAGAATACAAAGCTCATTTTACAGTCAGAGATAAACTGGGCTATATATCTTTAACTGAGACAATTTTTGCACAAATACTTAAATGTTTGTTTTCCTTCCAAAATAGTGAAGTTCAGCTTTAAAAGTACTTCGTAATCTTGCTCAGAATGAGAGAGGCTGGTTTTGTTCCACTAGTTTAAAAGAAAAGAAAAAAAAAGATCTGAACTTTCAGCTCCTTTTAGAGCTAAATTAAATTAAACATTTCTGTCCTTCTGAAATATTCTGATAACTGTTTTTTTCACCTCTCACTTCTGGCTAGGACTGGAATGGAAACTGCCTGAAATCTCCAAAGTAAGCATGTCCTGTGAGATTTCTAGCGCACGTTATTTTTATTTCTTTGTTATTTATTTTGAATATAAGAACTGTTGGCAATTCAAATAAGCCTTATTTATGCGTCAAAACCCAAACTTTGAAATTCCACTGTGGCTTACAGTCCCAAACCTGTTTATGGTTTCCTTACACTTGTTTCTTGTCTCTCAAGCATTCCTGTTCTTTCTCACATACCAACATGCATTCCACCATGGTCCTCACTTACAGATGATTTAAATCCTCTTGGAGAAGATATGAAAAAGTTGTTACTAGCCAAGACGACGGGCTTGCTCAAATAACAGACTGGGCAGGAACTAGGAAAAGCCATTACTGAATCTCAGAAAAGAAATTATATACATTCTGTTAAACCTTGTATTTCAGCAAAAGCCTTTGCTGCTTTACTGACTGCAAAGGGGAACGTTCTCCTTTGCTGGTGAAGTGCTATGGAAATGAGTACAAATTTATTCCTTCCCTCGGTATCTGTCTCATTAGCACTGCTGCATACGGCTCATGCTTCTCTGGTCATGTGGTGCATTCAGATGGTTGGTTAATTCATCTTTTCTGCCCTTCAAATCAGGGTTGCATCTGCCACCAAAAATCAACAGGGCTGCACATATCTATGCTGAAAGATAATCTATGTCAGTAAATGTGATGAATAAGTAGGGCTTTTTGAATACTGTAATGATCTGTGATACAGCTTTTGTACTATTTGAAAGTGAGTTATTACTCATAGGGTTTGTAATCTTACAGCTTTAAATTTGGGGAGTGTCATACTGAGCTTCTTTCCCTGGATTCTTCTTTTTAACATAGAGTCTAAAACTGAGAAAAGACTAAAAGCCAGAGAAAAAAATCTGAAGTGAAAACTGAGTTAAGGACCTCAGAAATTGTACAAAATCCAGGCAATTATACATTGGCAATATTGTATTTGTTAAAGATGTTGGAAGTGTAAAATGTCAAAACAATGATGTCAGTCGGAGTTTTGCCATTCATTTCACAATGTCTAGGACTTCATTCATGATAACTTTGAAGTACTCCAGAAATAAGAAAAAGCTGACAACAAAAACCGGGTTAATGCAGACTGAAGGCAGGTTGCACAGCTATATGTTTGTCATGTTCTTACGATGAAAGAGTGAATTTCCCTGTCCTTGAACTGTTTAGACCCCACAGATTCCCCTGGAAATCTGCAGTTGAGTTATTTCTCATCAAAATTTCACAAAATGTAATCAGAGCCTAAAAAGGAATCATTTTTTCTGAATGTTTTATGAGCAACAACGTGAGCATCCCATTTGAATTTTATGTTACACTTAGAGCTCTTCATTGCATTGACAATGTTTTGTAATACTCCACAGAGTATGCTTTATTTTTTATGTTAGGGGAAAAGAGCATTCAGCAAATTGAAATAAACTACCCAGGCTGGCTGTCAGTTGCTGTTGTACAACCATGAAAAAACCTGATCTGTAAATGTCATTTAATCTTTGTCTATTGTTTCCAGGATCAAAGGGAGAGGACCTATTCAACAGTGAAAACCAAATCCACTTCAGCTTCTATTAATAACCTAAAGCCAGGAACAGTGTATGTTTTCCAGATTCGTGCTTTTACTGCTGCTGGTTATGGAAATTACAGCCCTAGACTGGATGTTGCCACACTGGAAGAAGCCACAGGTAAGCAATTAGGTTTACAGGAAATTAACTGTTTCTGTAGAGGTAGTAAGTAAAGCAAGAAAAAAGTTATAAGCAGTATAATTATAATTAGAAGGAATGAAGTTCTACGAGAAAGTGGATTTTTGTAATTGTGTTTTGAAGGATGAGCTTCAATAATTTGTTTTACCATAGAACTGAAAATTAGTCTTATAATTGGCTGGGTAAGATTTGTAACATATCAGGTTCATCTCCTCTGCTGTCCTTCTAACACAAAGACTTCCTTTTTTTAAAATTCAAATACACACTTCTTTCTCCCCACAAAAGAAGTGAGTAGTGATGAGCTGAGTAACTCAACTAGATTCTTCCTTCTCTCCTGGGGAGAAGGAAGGAGGAGATTTCAACCCACAGAGGCTTCTCTGGGTCATTTTTTCCATTTGATTTCCTGAAAAAATCTTGATAGTTTTATTTAAGCTGTAAATCCATTTTTAGTGTATTTTGAATTCATTGGCAATGAATTGTGCCCTTATTTGCCTAAAAATCATACTGATACTTTTTTTGTTCACCAGTGTATATATGTGCATGCATGTTTAGAGAAAATCTTCCACATTTTGCATCTTCAGAAAGAAACTCTTCCATCAGTGAGACCTGGCAGCTGTGAGCCCATTCTCGGGAACTGTCTGTGTTCCTGGCAGCTCCACCACTCTGTTGCAGACCCAAATTTGGTTACCCTGTTTTGGAACATTTGCTTCAGGTTGACCTGCCTGACAGCAGGTCAGCCAGAATTGGAGCTGGGAATCTGTAGCCTACAAGTTCAAAGGGTATGGATGCCATACCCTCTCCGCACTCTATGCAGCATATCTAAGGCGCAGACACACATTATTGCATCTTATTAATTGCAGCCAGGTGTCGCCTGAACAATTTGTGGGCATTCTTAAAACACAGTGGTTAGGTCTTGATTCCACCTTAGTTTCACACAGAATATAAAAACTATAAATAATGAATAATACCGCATATCTAATAGACATAATTGAAATAGTAATTATCATAATAGCAGCAATAAGCTGTTATTACTAATATTATTAGCTCTGTGTCTAATAGCATACTTTCCATCTGTAGAGTTCTGCTTTTGGAAGAGTCAGTAGCAGAATCCCCATTTTGCAGAATGGGAACCTAAGGTACAGCCAGAAGTAATTTCTTATTTTGAGTAGTTTTCTGGAAAACAAATAAGTCTGTCATCATCAGTCATAAGTTTCTGCTAATTAGCTAATTTATTGTCCATAGTGGTTTAAAATTAGTTCTTAAAAATGTTTCCCCAACATTTCCTTAAGTATCTGCATATTTTTTGTATACTGTATGTAAGCATTCTGGTAGCTGCTAAGATTAGCAATGATAATTTCAGAGGTAAACAGTCTTGACTGGAGTTTGGTCAACATATGGAAGATTAGGAAATCCTATAATAAATGCATCACTGACCAAGCTCCTGTACCCTTTTTCTCATTCAGGTGATGAAAAAATGCATATAAACCAGAAAGATGCTTTGCCAGCATGCACAGCAGTTTTTTTCTTGTCACAAGCCAGCTTTGTGTTTGAGGTGCCATGCAAAAATGTCCTGTCTTTTCATTAAATTTTAAAAGTGGCATATTTTCCATTAACTTGAGAGGACACTATAAAATATAATTCCTATCAAGGAGAAGCTTCCACAATTTCCCATATCCAATTTCCAGAAATATTTGTTGGTAAAAAGATAGTAAATCTCATTAAATTCTTCTAAAATAGTTTCACACAAAAATATTTGTTTCTCATATTTATTTATAGTTTTATGAGAACTTGTGGACTAATCAAATTAGTCTTTTGTTAGCATTTTAAATGAAGATCTTTATTGGATCATTTTTAAGAAATATACCTCAAGTGAAGTCTGTACTGTTGAACACTAAACCAGTATTATGCTACAGTTTAGAGGCATTGTCTTCTCATTATTCCAGTGGATTTCTGAATGCAGCTTCTAAAAATTTCTAAGTGTTTCAAGAGGAAAATACACACATATATTATGTAAGAATATATATAATGACCATCACAGTCGGGTAATCATGTTGCCTGCATGGATTTCTCCTGGTACATAACTGGTTGGCACTTTTGATTAGTGCTGTTAATTAAGTAGATTTTTGTATCATGCTCCATTTTCTGAATTGTGGTAGAAACTGCATAGTCACTTTTCACTGTTTAAAGAACTACATCCATTATAATAATATTACTGATATGTAAAATATACATATTTTATGCCTGCATTGGAACATATCATATATATGGGGTATTGCATAAATATTTATGTAAAAATTTCATAATTATGAAGTAAACATGTTTTATAAAGGCAAAATATTTCTATTATATACTTTGTTTGCCACAGTTCAAGTCAATGACTCTAGTCATTGTATTTTTTTGTTGTCTAGGTTTTAGAGACAGAAGTCCCTCACGAAAAACACACAAATGCATAGAATATCACTTAAGTGGCAATTTTATCTCTTGGTTCACTAAAATATTTGAAAGCCAAGTTAAATGGCTTGTGGCCAGTGGACCTAAAGATGATCCTGAGCTTTTTGTAATTGAAGCAGATTTTTTCACTTACAGAATCACAGAATCAATTAGGTTGGAAAAGACCTCTGAGATTTTTGGGTCCAATCTTTGACTTTGTTATGACTCTCACTGTTAAAGTAAAAGCACTCGACAAAACATGGCATGACAAAGTCTTCGCTTTTTCCTTTTGCCATGAATCAGTTTAAATCAAAGAAGATTAAAGCAGTATGCATATGTAGCTTTTATTTCTAATGTCTGAAATAACAATACTACACATTTTTATAGAAGGCATAAAGCAAAATATTTAAGAAAGAAATATTTTGTGTACATGGCTCCAATTATCATTTCAGCTTTTGTAATGGACTTCACCAGAAATTCTTTTTTACAAATCGTACTGTCAGGTTGCTTGCATGCTAAAAGGTTGCTGGAGCAGCAGCACAGCATTTTCAGCTAAAATCCATTTCAAATTGTCCAGGGTGTTTAGATACCCATTCCCCATCCCTACAACTGTGTATTTAAAAGGTGGTTTTCAGTCCTTTAACTTAAGCATTGTGCATTGGATGTGCACATATCATAGTGTCAGACCAGATATCAGCCCATGTACAAGCTCCCTGTCTCACTCCGTGTCTGAGCACAGTTAGAGCAGAGGTAAGGACAGACTTCTCTGTCCTGCTGCTGATTCCCTGTCATCACCATTTGGGCAGCACCAGTGACAGGCAACCATGCCATGCACTCCCTGAAAGGGTCTTCTGCATCACAAAATCATTCTGCTAAGAACACTCTAGCATCTTTTTTTTCTGCCAAACCACAGGGATCATTCCAGAAGCTGGGTTCTGATTTACCCTTACACTTACAGAGTTCATCACACAGAAGAGAGAATCAGCAGAGTACCTGAATAGAGTCAAATGTCTTAGAATGGTGTCACTGAATTCATACCAGACCATGCCCACAATCAAGCCATATTTTTTTAAAGATGTAAAATTGCATCATATAATACATTGCATCCCACCTATCTTACCAGTTGGCCAGTTTACCAGGTCCCAAACATTTTCCAGAGCCCAAAAAGCATCCTCTGCTTGCTTCCAGGATGTGCCAGTACCCAAAATCTGTGAGGCAGTTAGAGCAACCCACTCACATATGTCAGCCTCTATGCTCTCATCTTGGCTACTGGATTAGGTGACAGGCTGGGCTGGGGATTCTTCCAAACATTTTTGATGGATGAAGCCACTGTGACAGGATGCTGCCTCTTCTTCACTTTCAAGTGAGGTTTGCACTGAAGTTCAAAGAGAGAAGGGAACAGTTTAAGGAAATGCTGTATTTTACAGAAATTTGACATTCTTTGGGATTGTCTATTTTGATGGCCTGATTATGTTAAAGGAACTGGTATTACTTATGCACCTACTCTCATGCACAAGACAGTCACCACTGATTTCTTAGAAGTTCCATGAGTGGGATACAGCCAAGCCTGCAGAAGCATCCTACTGATCTGGGTATCTCAGAAAGTTATAGCTACTCAAAGATAAGCATTCATTCTTTTCAGGTAAAGAGTAATATTAATAATGTGATCTTTCTCAACTGCATTAGGTAGAATATAGAAAAAATACAGAATTTCTTTAGGAAATAAAATTAAAGGGGATGTGTGTATGTGTGTAATTTTCTTCTAGTGCAGATTATTCTAAATCTGTGTAGTATTTGTTATTGTGTGTGTAGGGAGAACAGTTGGTACAGGTCAGTGTCACTGCCAAAATAAATCATGTTGATTGGCTCACTTCTCCCAAGAAAAAAATGGTTTATTTGTTTCTATGGGAACTTCTGAAGTCTGCAACAGGAACCCAATTCTGTGAAATTCATAAAATCCTCTTGTAGACATTATAGTTCAGTTACCACTGCCAGCAGTAATTCCATCATACCATCTACAATTTAGTTTACCAGCTATTAGTTTAGTTTCGATCATGGGGTGGTTTGCATGGCACCAAGCCTGCTGGAGACAGATGGGGATCACCTGTCTAAAAGGGGGAAAAGGATTCTAGTCTGTGAGTTGGCCAGGATGATTGACAGGGCTTTAAACTAGGTTTGAAGGGGGAAAGGGATAAGACCAACCTTTCTAGAGATGAGCGTAAGGGCAGCATGCCAGTGTTGAGGGTGAAATCAATAGCCCAGTTGAAGTGCATCTGCACCAATGCACGCAGCATGGATAACAAATAGGAGGAGCTCGAAGCCATCATGCATCAGGAAAGCTATGACGTAGTCACCATCACAGAAACTTGGGATGACTTGCGTGACTGGAGTGTTGCAATGGATGGCTATAAGCTCTTCAGAAGGGACAGGAGAGGAAGGAGAGGTGGTGAGGTAGCTCTGTACACTAGGGAGTGTTTCAGCTGTATAGAGCTCAATGATAGTGATGATTAGGTTGGGTGCCTATGAGTAAGAATCAGGGAGAAGGCTAACAGGGCAGACAGCGTGGTGGGAGTTCGTTATAGACCACCCAACCAGGATGAAGAGGCAGATGAACTATTCTATAAGTTGCTGGATAATGTTTCACAATCTCTAGGCCTTGTTCTTGTGGAAGACTTTAACTTGCCAGATGTCTGCTGGAAACTGAACACAGCAGAGAGGAGGTTGTCTAGGAAGTTCCTGGAGTGTGTGGAAGATAACTTCCTGACACAGATGGTAAGGAAGCCTACCAGGGGCAGTGCCCTGCTAGACCTGCTCTTTATGAACAGTGAAGGGCTGGTGGAAGATGTGGTCAGTGGCCATCTTGGGCATATCAACCACAAAATGATTGAGTTTTCAATTTTTGATGAAGTAAGGAAAGGGGTCAACAAAACCTCTACCTTGGCTATCCAGAGGGCAGACTTTAGTCTGTTCAGATCACTGGTTCAGAGAGTCTTTTGGGAAACAACCCCTAAATACAAAGAGGTCCAGGAAGGCTGGACATATTTGGAAAGGAAAACTTAAATGCAAAGGAGCAAGCTTTCCCTATGTGCTGAAAGATGAGCCAGCGGGGAAGAAAACCAGCCTGGCTGAATACAGAGCTTTCACTGGAACTCAGGAAAAAGAAGAGTTTATGACCTTTGGAAGAAGGAGCAGGCAACTCAGGAAGAGTACAAGGATGTCATCAGGTCACGTAGAAAGAAAACTAGAAAGGCGAAGACTCAGCTAGAACTGAATCCGGCCCCTGCTGTGATAGATAATTAAAAGTGTTTTTATAAATACATTAACAACAAAAAGACGGCCAAGGAAAATCTCCATCCTTTTTTGGATGCGGAGGAAAACATTTTAACCAAGGATGAGGAAAAGGCTGAGGTACTTAATACCTTCTTTCCCTCAGTCTTCAGTAGTAAGACTGGTTTTCTTCAGGGCAACTGGCCCTCTTAGCTGGTAGACAGAGACAAGAAGCAGAATAGACCCCCTGCAACCCAGGAGGATATACTAGTGACCTGCTGTGCCACTTAGACATTCACAAGCCTACAGGGCTGGATTGGATACAGACAAGGATACTAAGGGAGCTGGCGGAAGAGCTTGCCAATCCACTCTCCATCCTTTACCAGCAGTCCTGGCTCACCAGGGAAGTCCCAGACAACTGGAGGTTGGCCAGTGTGACGTCCATCTACAAGAAGGGTTCAAAGGAGGATCTGGGCAACTACAGGCCTGTCAGCCTGACCTCAGCACCAGGGAAGGTAATGGATCAGATCACCTTGAGAGCCATCACACAGCATGTCCAGGATGACAAAGCAATCAGGCACAGACAGCATGGGCTTACAAAAGGCAGGTTCTACTTGACCTGCCTAATCTCTTTTTATGACCAGATGACCTGCTTAGTGTAGGAGGGAAAGGCTGTGGATATAGTCTACCTGGCCTTCAGTAAAGCCTTTGACACCATCTCCCACAGCATTCTCCAAGAGAAACTGACAGCCCATGGCTTGGATGGGTGCATTCTTCACTGGGTTAAAAACTAACTGGATGGCCAGGCCCAGAGAGTGGTGGTAAATGGTGCTACATCCAGCTGGCAGAAGGTCACTAGTGGAATTCCCCAAAGCTTAGTGTTAGGGCCAGTACTGTTTAATATCTTAATCAGTGATTTGGACAAGGGGATGAAGTGCACCCTCAGTAAGTTCACAGATGAAAATAAGTTGGATGGGAGCATTGATCTGCTGGAGGGATCTGAATCCATGGGCTGAGTCCAACTTGATCTTGGAGGTCTTCTCCAACCTTAATAATTCTATGACTTTATGACTGTATGATTCCAGGATGTCTCCTCCTCTGTCCATCTCCTGGTCTAGATCCTCACAGCTCCACAGAGTTCAGTAGCACTGTGCTCATTTAATACAGCTGAGTACATGGCCACCCTCAGTACATGTCAGGCAAGCAGCGTATTTAACAAGCTTCAAGGTTTCTCAGACCAAGTATTTACATACTCAGTTTACATTAATGTGGCATGCATAAATTTGCATATATTGATAGAATTGGCATATATTAATAAAAAGAGCGATAACGTGTGGCTATTTTAGCATATAAATTCTCTGAAGCTCAGAGAAGTCCACTTTGTATATGTGGAAGCACCTTTTTGTTGCTAACAGAAACAAATGATAAGTAATAATAGCTATTTACAACGATTATTAGCAGTAAGAGATTGAAATATGCTGACTAGGTAGTCTGTGTTAAGAGCATTTCAGCTCAAACATTTTTCTTAGAGTTAAGACACTATTTTCTTGGAAACCATCAAAGTCATATCAAGGAGCTTTAGAGGGAAAGCTTGAAGCAGAGTTCTTCAGGGATTACTCCTCTACTATACCTCCTTACAGGAATATCCAGGTGTTACCTCTTAGGAGGGAGTCAACAACTGAGCAAAACAGAAGGCAGCACAGCAGTAGGAGGAAGTGGAAGTGACTGGTGCTAGCGGTGCTGGCTTTCAGCTAATGGCTGTACTGCTTTGGCCAAGGAAATTCCAGCTTGGCTCCTTTTTATTCAGTGTAGACAATAATTTACTCATACAGCATTGGGTTAAATTTCCAATGAAGGCCCTGCTTTAGACTAGTGTTATCAATATAATAGTTTCAGATAAAAGCAGTCTACAACAGTAGACAATCTACAATTCATGATAATTGACTAAAATTTTTGCAGTCCCTTTGTAGTGATTAATTTTTAACTAATCTCTTCTCTGTGCTCTGTTTGTAGCCACAGCTGTTTCCAGTGAACAGAATCCTGTTATTATCATAGCTGTGGTTGCTGTGGCAGGAACCATCATTCTGGTCTTCATGGTGTTTGGTTTCATCATCGGACGAAGGTATTGCATCTTTCACGGGCATTAGCACATCTGACCCCACTCTTGTGAACTCTTCAGACATAGTCTGTTCTGGGATAGTAACTTGCAAAACTAAAACAGAAATAATTTTTAGTAAGGACAGTTTTCCCTTACCAATTATATGGTTTGTCCTTTTACCTTGGCAAGACACTTAAATCAAGATGTTCTTTTTGTCCTATGCAAATGTGCTGTAAAAGGAACCCCTAGCAGGTTCTTTAACTGTACTCCTCAAAATCCCTCTTCCTGTTCGATTTTCTCACATGGAGAAATCTGACACTTTATCTGATCAGCCTTTAAATGACTTTCCATTCAAGAAAAAGAGACACAGCAGTAAGTTTAAGAATACCCTCATGTAAAACAGTGTTGTACTTTCAAGTTCTTTAATCCTCTGTTTTATCTGTTGAAGCTTTTCACCAGAACTAGATTTTTTTTCTTTAGGATCTGTCCTGACTGGTATTTGATACAAAAGCCTTTTGATTGCAACTGTTCATGATTTATTTAAAACTCTGCTGTCAATAGAATTATAGGTGAAAGTTTCAAAGGGCCTACAGCAGTTAGGTGCTCAGTGCCTGAAAATCCCAGCCTGCAGAACTGATTTTGTCAGGACTTTAGACATGAGAAGTAAATAATTATTTACCAGTAAAACTAGTGGTTTACTTTCTTTTCAGGCATTGTGGCTATAGCAAAGCAGATCAAGAAGGGGATGAAGAACTTTACTTTCATTGTAAGTGTTTTGGTTTTTTTTCCCCCTTTCAAAAATTCCCAACTGGAGTAGTGTAGACAATACTATGGTGTAGACAATACTAAAACAAGACTCCATGAAAGACAATGCCATAGGAAATTCAAAAATGCTGTGTAAATAACAAGCAGGAAGTTAAACACTGTAAAAATGTGACCTACAGAAAAGGAATGCAGATTAAAGACAACATTGCTCACACAGATGGTTTTATTTCTATACATGTCTATGATATACTGTTGTTTTCATTCTGCATTTTTGTTTTCTTCTTGTTGCTTTGAATATATGTTTCACATTGTCCTAATGATCCCTCTAAGGTGCAGTATTCATGAGACCTTTGCCTAAGATATCTTCACCTCAGGCAAAATTCAGATTAATAAAGTGAGTAACTGCATCACCCTAAAAATGAAGCTGTTCTGCTCAAAAGCTGTTTTTTGCTGCTGTGAATACTGTACCATCAATATTTACAAAACATAATGTCCTTAAAAATTGAATATTTAATATGAAAAGAAAGAGCATCCACTTTGTTACTTTTTTGTGTTCTAGAATCACTTGCCTAGCCAAGAGTAGCACCTAAAGCCTCTTTTATTAAAATTGTATCTACCATCTGAACTTATACTAGAATGCTGGGAAAATTCAATAAAACACATCTTTCTTGGGTTAATGACAATTGAAAATATAAGGGAAATGTAAAGGAAGGATTATGCAAGAATACTTTCATTTTTATCCAAATATTGTTTAAATTTTTTTTTATTTTAGCCCTTTCTCATTTCAATTGTAGTACCATTTTGACATTAAAAATTGAAAATGTTTTAATTTCTTTTAAAAACAGTCATTAACTCAGGAGTTGCAGTAAAACTAAGCTGCAAAATTATTTTGAGCAACCATAATTGTAAAATCACATAATAGAATTAAACTGAACATAAGTTCTGTTACAGAACAGTGCCTGGGTTTCTCCCATGTGTGATCACTCTCATATCAGTACAACTTGCCATTTAGTCATGCTATGCTGTATGTAGCCTTTGTTGTCTACCAATAATTGCAGCTGTAGCTTAAATCCTTCAGATTTTTTTTTCTGAAAGCAATAGGATTTATCTTATTTTAGATATGTCAAAGTCATGAGCTGTTATCAGAAGGTAATGTCACATGGTGAATGAAGTAGCCACTAGTCATAAATTCTTAGCATCTTCTGAATGCACTCCTCTCTAAATGAGTAGTTCTAGCCAAAGCTCCACTCAAAATCACTGTTTTACCCTTCTTCCCTGAAAAAATCAGGTTAGCTGGAAATTGATCCCATTTCCTGAGTTTGAGTGTGTGGCTACCTAAATTGTTTAAATGCAGTGAGTGTCAAATTAAGTAGGGACATCATTGCAGCTTTAGTCAATCAATTCATAAACTGTGCAAGAAAGGTGGAAAATTATAATGAGATAAGAATTATTTATAATGCACTTTGCAATGCAGCTGATTTTAAAGAATTCATCAAAAATCTGAGTTTACTTAAATGTTACTATTCTTGGAGTGATGGATTTGAAATTTGCCTCTTATAATGCATTATAAGCTTTTCACATTTTCAGAAGATCGACTGCTTTCACTTTTAAAATCCCCATTATGTCCTTGAAGGAAAAGATCAGCTATGTATTCTTGTATTTCATTATATAAAAAAAAAGGAACATTCTAGCTAAATAATTTCTTTCCTTATCTCCATTATTGGTGACATTTGGTTTTGTTTCAGTGAAAATGTAAATTAATTAATATGAAAGCTGCTACTTAATAATTGATAGTTGATCCAGAAATGATGACACTTTATAGACATTCATTTCCCTCATTATCCTTTCAAGAAATGTGGTTATCCAGCAAATCAGTCAGAAGATTAAGCATACACAATCTTTTTTTAAATCACGGCACAAAATACAAGTAACTTTTTGCCAAGGTAGTTTTTGATCATCTGTTGGTTGTAGATGTAGTGTTTAATTTCATTTGACAGCCATGTAGAGAATAAGACGGAAGCCACTGCTGTGGCCACCAGCTTGGTCACAGAGCTGTGAACACCAGTTTGGTGGCATTTTGCTCCATAACATGTAGACAACATTTTTCTGTACTGGGGTACCAGATTTTCAAAAACATAACTTAGAACAATCACTTGCTTACAAAAAAAACTTACAAGAGAAACATTTTTTAAAGCAGATTTTAAAGCTCTGCATCATAGATTTCATTTCAATTCCCTTCATCTCTCTGTGACCTCAAGTGCTATGCTTGAAGATACAATTACAATGGAGGAGTTTAGTCAAGCAATTCAGATTTATATTTGGGTTCCTCCTCCCATTTTCATCTAGCATTGTCTGCAAATGCAGGCCAGCATTATTTCACATTGCTATGCCAGGATAGCCTCGGCCTGTCAAAGGTTGTATGACAGCTTGAATAAAAAAACATTAGAGGCCCACTTGAGATTTGCAAGGTTACTTCCAATCCAGACCCCTTATTACAAGCACAGGAGTACGGTTCCTTCTCCGTCCTGTTGCCTAAAAACATTATTAGAGCTGGTCGACCTATGGCTTTATTGTCATTTTCTCCAATGTCTTTTAGTTTTAAGAAATAAATATTTATAATTTTTAAAAATTGCAGCATTGTCAATACAACTGGAAAAACATCTATTTAACTACATAATATGACAGATAATAACATCTGGGCAATATTTCAAATAATTTCTCTGGTTGTAGATTCATTAGATTACTCAACCAATTTCTCTAGGTTTTTTCCTTTTATGAGGGTTTGTGTGTTTTTGGTCATTAATACCATCTGAAAAAAATATACATGATTGCTAAGCTATTTTTCAATATATTTTCAAATTTAAAATATTTTATGTTAAATTAAAAGAATACAAAGGAACTGTAAATTATTTATGTTTTGTTCTGACTTTTGTTCCTGTTCTTGTATATCAGCATATCAATTAGCAGAGGAACATTTCTGCATTTTGATATTGAATTTTAATTAACTGATTTAATTAAAGCTCAAGAGTATAATCTTTGTAAGCAAATTTATTTCATAAAAATTTCTTGATTAGTAGATTTTCAGGGTTGCTCTACTATGACCAGGAGTTTCTACTTTGACTAAAAGAGCAAAAAATAATTTACCTGAATCATTAGCAAACTAAGGGCAAAAACTGCACACTGGCCAGAGCATTATGCTGCCTGAGTTGCACTAAATGTTGTACTAAAAAGGAATGAGCAAAATACAAGTTGCCGCATATTTTTCACTTAGGTGCTTGAGAGGGGAAATATTGGTGCCACAGAGCCCCCTTTCCCTCCTATACCTTTACAAGTTGACTACAACAAGTTGATTTCAACATGTTCATATTATACCGAAAGAAATATACCTAAGGATATAATTTTTAAGTGCTGTGAATACTTTGACTATTGCCACAGTCTGCAAAAAATATTATATTGAGTAGTTTAAGCAAATTGAAGGAGGTGAAGAAATGTTTCAAATCTCACTAGAAGACAGAAATAACATGAAGAAATGCTGTTTATGCATCCTAGGACAAAAGGATAAGCTGTCCTTACACAGAAAAGAAACTTTCGCCTCCTCTGCTGGTCTTATACCCCTTCCCTGCTTTGTTTTTACTCCCACTCAACCCTTACATTTTATTCCATTGATCACTATTTAATGTTTATTACTTAGTTCAAGGTGGAGATGTTAGTAATTTTTAGAGATGGGATTGTGTGCTTGTTTCAGCATGCTCACAGATGATGCCTAAAACTAAGGTTGCTTCTCAGAGCGGCTCTGACTCAGGCAGCGTGGAAACAGGTTCACTCTTCCAAGGAGCACTCTGCATAATGAAACTCCTGGGCTGACTGCACAATAAGTGCTTTTGCTTCATCACAGTCATACTTTCTTACATCATTACAGTTAAATTTCCAGGCACCAAAACCTACATTGACCCTGAAACCTACGAGGACCCAAATAGAGCTGTCCATCAATTCGCCAAGGAGCTAGATGCCTCTTGTATTAAAATTGAGCGTGTGATTGGCGCAGGTAAGGCTGCTGTGGCTTCCTTATTCAACTGTTCCATTTAGCCGGGATCGAAACTCATACATCATAATGACAGGCAAATAATTATACCTCAAGTATAGAAGAACTTTTTGCATTTGCTAGAGTGGTTAAGAGCAATGAAGCTGCACTCACTTCTAAAATGTAAAAACAAACAGGGGAAAAACCCAACAAAAGAAACAAATAAATGAGTAAATTAAAACTCTTGCTTGACATTGAAAGCTTGTGGGTTTTTAATCCTGTATCTGCTGTTAAAAATGGAACTGGGGGGAGAGGGCCAGTTTTGCTGCCCATTATTTACTGTCAGAGTAAAGGCGTTAGGCATTTGTGCAAATTCTGCTCACTTGCCTTTTGCAAGAGGGGTTTTTGACCTCTGAAACTTCATTCATGTGAGTAAGGAAAACTGACTGCAGCACAAAATCTTAAACAGAGACTAGGAAGGTCTTGTTTCTGTATAACAAAATCTTCCCTAAGGCTGTTTTTTTCTTTTACCATTTTTCTGTTTGATATTTTATGAATACAAAAAGTTATTGTTTAACTTCATATGACTGATTGTAATTGCTTCAGCACTAGATTGCTTTTCTTCCTCTTGAGCTGTCTACCACCTATTTAAGCCATGATGTTCATGCTCTAAAAAGGCAGTTTCATTTGTTTGCATTAATAAGATATGTGACATTTTTATTGCACTACTCCATGTAGTGAAATTAAGTTTCCATGGGTAAGAAAAATATCAAATACTTTGGATTCCTGGAGGAAACGTTCATTTGCTTTCCTGTTGTTTTATACAAGTATTAGTAAAATACTTTCTAAATCACCCTGTAGTTTGGCACTGTAAGTGATATTATTTAAAAACAGAACAAGTAATATCTCTAAAATAAGCTGGTTTACCTGTAAGAAAATCTTTAGACTTAAAATTCATGGCTTTTCAAAGTAACCTCACTCATGTTGAATCATGTCTCAATCAAGGAGTAGTAGCATTGAAATTAACCACACTGCTGAGAAAATTATTCCTTCAGATGAGTAAGAGCATAAGAATTTAACCCTTGCTAACTAGGAATTTTTGTGATGCTAGAATGGCAGCATCTCCTCTAAAAAATACACAATATACAAGATTAGCATAGACAAATTGCAGAGCTTTATTTTTTGCTCTGAGTTAGAAAGCTACCAGCATAGCAACAGTTCAGAGCGCAAAGATATATTCAGTTGGATTTTGCCAATGCCTTCTGAGCAAAATACTGAAAACACTTGAGCTGCAGAATATGCAGTTTAAAATGTATTTTCACTGTTATGACAAATTCCAGAATGTTAATTTTGTTGACTGCAGATGAATTTATTCTTGATTTTAATGAGTATAACTGATAGCAAAATTAACTAACGTGTGTCAGTAGTCATTCTGAAGAAAGTTAACTAGAAGTGCAGTTGTGAAAGCATATTTTGTGTGGCATTTAGCTATGGCTTTAACCCGTTGATGTAAATAGCAAATAGGAGTGAAATGAAATTCAGTCCAGGAACAACAGAACGTTAAAGAACCAAAGCAGCAGCTGAAACTCATACATCAAAGAAGAATATGGAATTTCTGCTAGTGACAGCACCAGAAAAGCCACTTAGCAATCTCAATGTTCATCAGCAATGCTGGCCACATCAGCTATTGAGTAGTGCCATGTCTCAGACAAACAGGGTGCAAGTATGCTTGTGCTCAATTTGCATGAGGGATATGTGCTTTCCTTGCCAACATTTTCATTACCATCCCACTGTGGCCACCTGTCAGATACGGAATATGTTGTCCACTATGTTAAGTTGTTCATACCACGCATCCTTTGTTTTAGCCTCTGCCTTGTTGACATGCTGAGCCAGTGGCTGTGCGGCTGTGCAGTATTCCCACTCTTGTTGTCATATTTTCCGGTTCATTTTTGGGCATCATTTCAGCTGAATATACTATTTTCTTGGGAATAAAAGTAGTTCATTGGCTAGCATCCTGGCCTGAAATGCATAACATACAAGTTCAACTTTCTGATTTGCCGGAGTGTGCATGATCTGCTTATGGAACTCAATCAAAATCAAATCACAGAGAACTGGAAAGGAGTTAAGCCCTAGTGTCTTCTGTGCCAAGTATCCTAATTACCTGGCTCTGAAATATCACAGACACACACTTATACTCATGTCTTGTTTTTGGTGTGGAACAAAAAAAAATTTGCAAAGTACTGCTAGAGAAAATTGTTATCCTTTAGTAAGTTCTTGAGGCTAGGGGCTATGAGTGATGAATTCATTAAAAGTCATCCATGTTGCTAATGAAGTGCAGGAGGGAGGTTAAGGCACCAAGCTAAGGGCATGAGCATCTAGTTGTTGTATATGTAACAGCTATACCTGATGGTATTCATAGCTATGACATGGCTATTTAGACCTTGACTTCGGTGCCCAAGGGCAGTTGAGGATAATGTGCAGACAGGAACACTTATCTGGCCAATTAGCTTAGGTACAGCACAGTATTAACAGAGGTATATGGAGTTGATTTCAGCTAACCTTGATTCAACAAGCGTGGTGCAGGAGGGAGAGGAATTTGATTCTGTATGCAGTCACCTCCTATAAGATTCATAAAACGAACCATACTGAGTGGAGATTTGTCCAGACAAGTCAGTTGGAAATATTAAGTCATGGTCTAAGTTCTACCTTTCTGGCTGGAGAACTCTGAAACTGATATCCAGTTACTGCTTTTTTCTTTACCCAACCTCTTCTCTTGGGGCTGTCAGGAGAACTGTAATGTTTGAATGCTGACAGTGTCCTAAACAAGATTTCTCAGAACCCATCCATTAGGACACTTCAGGCATTCAGACCCATTTCCAAGCATACCTTTCTCCACTGCCAGCCAGACATCTTGACAATGTGTACGTGCACTTAATTCTGATCCCACAAAGTTTCTCAAGACGTCAGTATATTTCCCAAGAGGATTCTCTAATCAAACTCTCTGTGTCTTACCTCATTCAATCATTTTTTTTCAGCACTCCTAAAACATGTCTTAGATGTAGGTGTGTCTGCATACTTGTGTGTACATAACAGCTTAATGTTAAGGCACTAGGCAGGTATGCAAGAGATAAGTTTCTGACTTGATTTGATTTGGAGGAAGGCCTTGGAACTGTATCTGCCATACTCCAGATGAATTTGCAAAGTACCAGATTGTTAACTATTTTTGCAATGAGTCTTTCCTTTTAAAAGAGAGATGTTCCCCTTTATTCAATATATGTTACTACCCTTTTCTTCTGTATTTAGAAAGAGATTTTTTTTCCTGGCTGCAGTATTGGATAACTCACTTTTGCACTCTTCTTAGACAGCTGTGAGGCTAGAGACAATCCTTAAATCTTTCATAATCTCATTAATATTGAGGTAGAGGTATTGCCATTCAGCTCCACACGTCACATGCTTCCATCCTCTTTCCTGTCTGATGGAGTCCAGTTACATCTCTCCCAAATTTGGTTGTTGCTGCTTTTTTTTTTTTTTTTGTGTCACATGCTTCTTCAAGTTCCAATTGTCTGTTAGTTTAGAACCTTTTACGAACTTGGAGCATTTGCTTGTGTTTGTTTAAAGTAACAAAATTGTTATAAGTCACACCTTTCATTTCATAATCTGCAAAGTAAATTATCTTGTTTGAAGGTAATAATGTAGTGCTTCATTTAACACCATAATGATGCTAAATTAAAAGCAGATCTGCAAGAGCTGACTTTTGAAAGAAAAAAAGCCACTGGATCTAAAGATAGCAAGGAAACTATGTAGCGCAGAATGACATTTTCACTTAGAAATGGTATTACTATTTCTGTGATACTGTTTTCTTATGAAAGCCATTTCATTTTTATTTCCTGATTTTGGAAAAAATGCAACAAATTGCTAACAAGTCTTTTAAAATATTCAAATAAGAGTCCTGTTGATTGGCTTAACATAAAGTGTTTGTTCCGTAAGGGTCAGCAATTCAAGGTAATCCATTTCAAATATAAGCATTCACATGCAAGATTTAAACACACACTTAGGCAGCTAGTTGAATCAAGGCCTAAGGAAAATATTGATAGTCGGAGCAATTCAGCATTGATCTACTTCATTTTAGGAGAGTTTGGTGAAGTGTGCAGTGGGCGTCTAAAGCTTCCTGGCAAGAGAGACGTTGCAGTAGCCATAAAAACTCTGAAAGTTGGCTACACTGAAAAGCAAAGGAGAGATTTCCTGTGTGAAGCAAGCATCATGGGACAGTTTGACCATCCCAACGTTGTTCACTTAGAAGGGGTCGTTACCAGAGGTAAGCAGCAGCTCAATCTGTCAGTCAAATAACAACACCATGGCAGAAACTACTCTAGCTTATTCATGGTCAAAGATTCAAATTATAAACAGACTGCACACTCCTAATGGATTTTCTCCTGATGCGTAACTAACTAAAACAATACTTACTTTATGCTGCAACCTGAGGAAAAAAATTTAGATGTACGCATGATTAAAAGATGAAGTACTTTGAAACATATTATTTTTCTAGTTTCATTTAGCCTCAAAGACCATGCAGAGAGATAAGGTTTCTTATGTCCTTTCAAATTATCTGAAGTGTCGTTATTCCAGAGTCCTGTTCACACAGAAGGAGGTAGGAGGGCACACTGACTTTTTGATTTGTATGGTTCGATTTTGTGAATCATTACCACATTCCATTAAGATATTTAAGAAATTAGAGCTCAGTAACAGTGCTGGAGGGCTCAGAAATGTTCATTGTCTCAGTGATTCAATCCTTCAAAGGAATAACTTGTGTTTTATCAAAAAAGGCACTCCATTTGTTTTACAGTTTCTCTTTTCTTTCAGGGAAACCAGTCATGATTGTAATAGAATACATGGAGAATGGGGCCTTAGATGCATTTCTTAGGGTGAGTACCAAAATGACAACTTATATAAACATGTCTAGAGTCACATATATTACATAGTGACACTTCTAAAAAATATGGTTTATATATGTGATATATACATGTATACGCCCATAATATTAATATAATTAAAATGGTTTTCAGGGTGAAATGGAGCTTGACAAATACTAGCAGTTCTCTGTGTTATTTCAGCAAAACCAGATCAAAAATGAGAGGATCAGATAAGATCATATGGAGACATTCTAGGAATTTACGTGATTTAATGTGTCATAAACACAGTGGGTTTTATTATTGCCACCACTTGCGATTAAAACCACTGATACATGAAGCCCAATCTTCTGCCTTTTGGGTGCAGAATTTTATTGTGTCAGCATGGTGGAATCGGAATAAAAGAATCCCTAACTGTGGTTCTGTTTAAGAGACAAACAAAGGAAGAAGAAATGCAAGTTCCCAACAATTTATCATTTTTTAAGTGTGTTCTGAACTTGCCAGTTCTGACTCCTTACCAGATATGCAAGACTGTGTGAGATGATGTATAAACACTCTATAGAGAACAGAAATATTGTTTGATAAACTCCAAGCTGTCAATAAAAATTATCAGTAGCTAAGGTTCCAAAAAGGAGATAGTTCTTATTTTCTTGATACAATAATGATACTGAGAGATGAAGAGCATAGAAGCAAACTATAAGAGCTTCAGGTAATCTTCATCAGTTAATCTCTTAGAAGCAATTTACCATGAATTAGACAGAAATGTATAGTGATGAGCAAGTTTCGCTACTATTAGTAGATTAACTACTCACACATTTCTTAACTGGATTTATGTCTGAAGAAAGTAAAACTTGTGTTTTTCTTTGCCCCAAGATGAATTGCCACAGAAAGAGTAAAGAAGTAGAAAGCCTAAGTTATAAAAGTAATTCTTATTTCTCTTCTCAGCTATACTAACAAGAATTGCTGCTCCTTTCTTCCCTCCAGAAACATGATGGGCAATTTACAGTCATTCAGCTAGTGGGAATGTTGAGAGGAATTGCTGCTGGAATGAGATATTTGGCCGATATGGGATATGTACACAGGGATCTTGCAGCACGCAATATTCTTGTCAACAGCAATCTTGTTTGTAAAGTATCAGACTTTGGCCTTTCCAGAGTTATAGAAGATGATCCAGAGGCTGTCTACACTACAACCGTAAGAAAAATTGATGAGTTTTCAGAGTTTTGAGATATGGTTATTAAGAAGCAGCGTATCTTCTAGAGAATATAGATAAGAGAAATATATTAATTGCTTGGGAAATGTTAACCAGTCAAAAGGAAGAGTCTCTGCAGAAATATGACTGTAATTAGGAAATAATTTTTGTGAGAACATACATTTGTATTTGGTAAGGTTCTAAAAATTTTATACGGTATTTTCATTATTCCCTTCCTCATGATTTTCTGTTTGAACAAATAAGGAAGTTTTACCCACAAAAATTTTAATCATCTGATTTACTATGAGTCAATTAAAATCTTTGTAGGCTATTACTATTTTTCAGACTAGATTTATCTCACCAAAAGGTTGACTAGCTCGAGACTAGACTGTGACAAAGCTCTACTCCCATATTTTCCCTTCCTTTTGGGTGGGACACTTTTTATAAATACATAGTCATCAGGCACACTATGCTCTTTATTCTTTTGTTGAGCCAGCTCCACTTTCCCACCCATGGGGCCTCGCTGTACCTATTTTCTCATGCTGAGGGAAGGAGGGGCCCCTGGAATCTACTCCAGCAGGCACGGGGATTCAGGAAACTACACCAATGTTCACAGCTGTCACGCCTGCCATTGGGCTCTAAGTGGGATCCTGATTTAAAAATGTCAGACTGATATTTCAGAGTAGCCATATGACAAGTCAATGGGATTTATATGCACAGGTTGAGATTTACTTCACCTACCTTCAACCAGTCAGGAGTTAAATGACTAGTGTAAATCAGACATCTAAGCACCCCTTTAGCTTCGATGAACGGATAAGCTCTTCCAAAGAAATACATCCAACTTAGCTTAGAGAAGTATCTAAGTTTCTATGTTCCAAGTGTTTTAAGAGGCTAAACTTCCTTAGACAGCTTTGCAAATTCTGCAATTGGTCAACCGTAGATGATAATCTAAGTGCTGCTTTTGATGTTGGTGGAAATAATTGTAAACACATTCTAGGGAAGATGATACGAAAATTTTGTGAGGAAAAAAAAGAGAACCCTCTTCTTCCTTTTTTTTTGTTGTTGTTGGTTTTTTTTCGTAGGGTGGAAAAATTCCAGTGAGATGGACGGCTCCAGAGGCCATTCAGTACCGCAAATTTACATCAGCCAGTGATGTGTGGAGTTATGGAATAGTTATGTGGGAAGTAATGTCTTATGGAGAACGGCCTTACTGGGACATGTCAAATCAAGATGTAGGTTTGTCTGTTTGTGAATGTGTGTGTGTGTGTGTGTTAGTACAACCAAAATTACGTGTTGCAAACACATATATATGTATTTCACTATAAATGCATAAAATGTTGGTTTAGAAATAAGATTTATAAAATCTTGTGAGAACTATATGGTTCTCACAAAATTAAAAAGTTACAGAGCTTTCACTTTTCACCTAGATCAAAATCTTTCCTCTGCCACATAGATATTGTAGGTTTCTGTTCTGAGTATCAATTAAAAGTGGAACATCAAAAATAGTAATATGTGCTCTTCACTTTATTATGCTTAAGCATGGAAAGAATGAAATTTTTTTCCAATAAAAAATAATTCTGAGGTTTCTGACCTTAGAGCAATGATTAATCAGTCGAAAAAAGTTGTTAAAAGTCTGAGTGGCAGTTAGTGACCTACTTTTGCTTTTTCAAGTTAATTATGCTGATTTAACAGTACCCTTGTTTGCATAAAATATGATCCAGAGCAACAGGTCAGCAGTAATAGAACAGATGGATGTTAATCTTGATTTCTGACAGGAGTATCCATTAATATAGAAATTACACAGGAAAAAGCCATACAGGTGCAAAAGTCGTCAGAAAGAGTATCAATTAAAGTTCTTCAGGTGGGGGCTTGAGTGTTCTTTTAATTGCTATTTTAATTTTTTATTGAATTATCAACATCAAAGTTAAAAAAAAAGATAAAAGTGTAAATGATGAGTCAGTTTGACACAGTGCAAAGTTGTTAATATTTGACAGGTCTCAGTGTCAAAGATTTCATGGACTGTCAAAATATGGGCAAACAAGTCCTTGGGGGAGAGAAAGAGAAATATTTACATTCCCTAGACACCCCGTAGAGTTTCATTTCTTTTGACACCTTCCTTCTGTACTAGATTCAAACATAAAAGAAGTCTGACAGGAATATAAGATGCCTCAAAGGCAAACCTTACCTATCTTTCAGGCAACGATAAGGGAAGACTTTTAAACAGGGGAGAAATTCTTGTATTTCCATGCTTGTTGTTGGATTTTTGAAAAGTATTCCTTCTGTTGAAAACTGCATGTAAAGCGCATGACTGAGCCTTTTTCAAAAAACAGCTAATTGCGACTTCTTACAGTTTCATCCATTTTTAGCATCTTTCATGATAATCTTCAATAGCATATAGTTAAAAGATGCATCGTTGCTTGGTAAAATACTTTCAAATATGCCTATCAGCTGTGATCTTCAAGCGTGTCCTCCCAAAGCATATACACATCCTGCCAATCTCATAGATAAATCTATGCTGCAAAAGTTTAGAGTCACCTTATAATTTATTGTTTATTCTCTGTCAAAGTTACCAGTGGTAATATTTAACTGGAATAAAAAATGCTAAATGTGTTCTTCTAATTTTGCATATGGACTCAGTTTATATATCTTGAGTGTATGATTTTGCCTAAAAGTGGATGTGGGCATAGTCATAGAACAGACCAGATCTCCTAAAAAATACATCTCCCTGACTTTAGACCGTTAGATAGCATTTCTTTAATTCTGCCCTTCTTCCTTTAAGTCATTACTTTAGATTGATGAAGAATACAAATTTGTGTTGTGATCTCTTCAAGAACAAGTTCTTCTTTCAGCAATGACCTAGAGCTAGGATGCACCAAAAGAACACTCATCCTACAAGCTCCCCGCAGAGACACAGCAGGCTGACTATAGATAATAGACAGTTGTCCCAACTTCTCTGAGCAGTGGGCTCACCTCAGCTTAATCCTTGCTGGTAGTCCTCAAACCCCTATTTCCCTATTAGACTTATGGTGTTCTTGCTTTCATTCACTTACTGACTCCAGTGCAGATTAGTTCTTCAGAAAAGGAAAAGAATTTAGGCTTACGTATTTTTTCTTTGCTGTACTCCCAGATTTATTACCATTATTATAATTTGTATTATTATTATATACCCATAAGCAGAGTTCTAACATTACGTTGTCCAGTTACCCATATTTAGTACTTCTTTGCTGGCATTCAGTATATAAAGTGAACAGATCTGGTCCTCTTCTATTCTGCTTTACATCCTCAGATAGCCTGATTATGATAAAAGCATACTTGAGTCTTAGCAGTATTCCCTTTTACTCTTTTTGCAGCAAAAGCAGAATTTCAAAAACGAATCGTGGGAAATGTAAATAATATAAATCAATTCTATTAGTAAGAACTCCAGCTGTGTTCTCTTTGTAGATTTGCTTATTAAAAAAAAAAAGTAAAATCCTGCATCTATTTCATTATCTTTGAGTACTGATTTTTTTGGACCCCTCTGGCTCCTTTTTAGCAGAATGGACTCTTGTCCTACTTCACTTATCAATATTTTAGAATATTTTTTTCAGTGTTTTGAATATTGGCAGAAATTCTATCCATCTCTAGATGGCTCATAATTTTATATTTCCCAGTTTCATCCTTCCTGCTCAGAATACCCATCAGAGAAGCTGATTCTGCAGTATCACCAAGGCCTTTCAAAAATGACATCATCTTGATTCCCACTTCAGGTTTCTCTGCAGATTGGAGTGATTGGGGAAAACTCCTGATTGTGATTCTTTCATCCATGTCTTCACTCTCCCTTACATTCTTGGATATAGTTTTATGTAGATGGTTTACCAGTTATAAAGGTCTTACATATTTTGGTGCTTGTGTTGCTGTTGCCGTTACCTACCTTTTCCATTCCTCATTGGTGATCTCTGTCTTCTGACCTCTTAGGCAACTAGTTCATTGGTGGTAAATCATACGTAGCATGTATGCTACGTATGTAGCTTTTAATACCTTTTGCCTATTAGGAGGTCAGAAATTTCTGCATTACTTTTCACAGCACATCAGTCATCCTGTACACACTGCAGCTTATTTTTCACTTTTATTCCACTGCTACTTCTAAGCATAAGGAGCTGTTCTTTTGTTTTTCATCTTCATATAGCTCTAAAGAATCTTAAATTTTACTTTTAATGTTTTCTTTCCTATATAGTTCTGTTCTTTCCATTTCCCTGTTCTTCTGCAGAAAACCTCTCTCCACACCCTCTCTGACAGTCAACTTCACCAGTTCTAAAAGGTCACCGCACTCATTCTTCAAGGTGTGGATATTTTGCAGGAATTGAATATTTCTCAGTCATTTTTGAGCTGTAGGACAGTGCTGTCATTCTAAATGTTCAGAGAAAAATCTGTGTCCTAGGAAGATGAGGCAACTTCCCTGAGGTCAGAAGGACATTCTGTGACACAAACCTGCAGTCAGTGCCCTACCACTGGGTTATACCTTCTCTTTTCACAAAACTTCTTTTATGCAAAAGGTTTTGATACAAAACCTGGCTGGATTTCAGTCAGCTTTTTGAAGGTCGTTTTGTATTGTCTGCCATTCTGTCTACTTTGCAGTCTACTGCACAACCTATGGAGTATTTTCTGTCTGAGGTTATTACTTTTACTAAAACCTGGATATTCAGTAACTTTGTTTATCATACCAGATCTACTTCCTAGAACTACATCCAGAACAGCTTCTGATCTTGCTTTCTATACAGACCAAGGGAGAAGACAGTCCTATGCACTACCCTTCAGGAACAAGCACCCTTCCTTAGCAATTCTAATGCTGCTGTGTCAGTCAATGTCAGTATACTTGAAATCCCCCATGAACAGTATTTTAGCCCTTTTTCACTAGCTTTTCTTATCTGCCTTGCTTCCTGATGTGCTTTCTTATTCTGCCCTCAAGGTTTACAGCAGTTTGCTATGATTTTACTTTATCCATTTTTATTTTTTACTTAAATCCAAATGGACTTGGCTAAGGAAGTCAACAGGTGGATGTAATTCTTGGTTTAGACATATATGCTCTCCTTCGATCATATCATCATCTAGCAACATCTCTTATTAAATCTAACTTTCTGTGATATATTAAAATACCATTCACCCAGGTCTTTCTCTCTCACACAGCACACTTCTGCTTCTTTATCATTAATATAACATGGCTAGACATAGAATATAACTTTTGTCCCTACCAATTTCTATCTGCTAAACATTATTCTTGGATGCTTTTATAATACCCTCAGGCTTTTTGTATTTTATATGTGCGTGCACAGATCTCTATCCATTTAAAAGTCAGTTGCTTCTACCTCACGCTCTTTCATAAAAGCCTTGGGGCAAGTAATAATGCTTTCTGAAATAACTCCATTTATCGTTCTATCTGTTACTCCCTCGGTGAATTTAATTGTTGTTCCCCGCTACTCACTTGTCTAGTTAATTTAGCTATGTTCTGCACATATAGAACAATATGCTTCATAAGCCCAAAGATAAAGTTGGGGAAATTACTTGAAAACCTGAAGGCTAGTGTCAAAACAATAGACTCATATTTTTGTAATGCTGATGGCAAATTTTAGTTTATTGATTTTTTATTTTATTTTATTTTATTTGTATATTTTTTGAACTGGGTAGCAGTATGTATTCTTTAAATTACTCTTGATGAAAAATAATTAACTATGTTGGCTACTAGGTTATAAAAGCAATCGAAGAAGGCTATCGTTTGCCAGCACCCATGGATTGCCCAGCAGGACTGCACCAGCTGATGCTAGATTGTTGGCAGAAGGAACGTGGCGAAAGGCCAAAGTTTGAGCAGATAGTTGGTATTCTGGACAAAATGATTAGAAATCCAAACAGCTTGAAAACCCCACTGGGAACCTGTAGCAGGTAAGAAAAGCTTTAGTGTGTGTTCTTATGATGGTGCATGTGGCTAGGTTCTCGATGTTCTGCTTGGTGGCTAGTTCCAGTTCACACTTATTTCATCTGTCTCTCAGTTCCTCCTTCTTTCTGTTCCCTGTTCTTCCCTTCCTTCATTTGCCCTTCTTTTTTACCATGCTGAACAAAGCCAAAAAGGACTTTCTTAAAAAAAGAAAACAAAAAAGCCAACCAAAATAAAGTAAATATCATGGAACTAACACATTTCTCTGTAAAGTACTACCTACTCATCACTCTTTCCACACTCTTACCACTAGCAGTCTTTGTTTTCCTTGTTTCTTAAAATTGTAAAGTCTGGAGGGCAAGGATCGTTGTCTATTGTAGTTTTATGTGATGCATCCCTTGCCCTAGGAACTGCTACGGTAGAAAAAGTAATTAACAATACTCATGCTTGGCCAATGTACTTTGACATGCTACACTCTAGATTTTTATCTTTCATTTTCTGGCTTTAACTCCTTTCAGTGATCACATCTCATTGTATTTCATGGTGTAGTTTTTAATGGCTTCTTCATAAATTTCAGGTGAATTATTTAATCATTATAATCTTTTGATCTGTTAGTTAGATCACTGCATTAGGGAATCAACTGACCTGTGTTCTGCTCCTGATTCTTCTACTGACTGATTTGCTATGTGACCTTAAACAACTTACTTTATGTCTCTGCTCTTTCCTTGTCTTTGTTTTGTCCCATCCAGTTGAATAATGGGAATAGCTACTGCTATATTTTCTAAGATGCATAAAAGAATAGCATCTTTATTTTACTCTGCAACTTAGTTGTAGCTGTCATGCTAGGTGATAAGGTTGATTTTCTGTTGATAACAGTAGTCCATTAGTCTGATTTTGCTCATTCTGACCTTTCATCTTTTACGTGAATAAGCTTAGGAAGTACATATTGTGAGCTACAGAGTAGCCAAGAGCTATTCAAAGAATAATCTAAACTGTGTATAAAGGCCTATTACTTTCTACTCTTGACAGTTTTAATACCCCAAACTTATTTGACTCTCACCTTGCTAAATACTCCCTGATGTTTTACTCTCTTTGGAAACAACTTACTTTCCTTTTTCCTTCTCCGTAGACCAATTAGCCCTCTTCTGGACCAGAACACTCCCGATTTTACCACTTTCTGCTCCGTAGGCGAATGGTTACAAGCTATTAAGATGGAAAGATATAAGGATAATTTCACAGCAGCAGGCTACAACTCTCTTGAATCAGTTGCCAGGATGACTATTGAGTAAGTTAGTACTGGGCATGTTTAACTTGCATTTAGGGAATTTCTAGGTAAAATAATAAACAATGTCCAACTCCAAAACTTTACCCTGAGTACAAACATGGTACTTGGGGTCAAACCAGCAATTTTAGCAGCTGACGATGTTATACTAGAGCATCTCATGAAAGAGCAAATACCCTGCTACCTCTGTGTGGCATCACATGTTTCTGTGCTTTTCAAAACAATTGAAGTAACACTGAGGGACTAGAATTTGAGAGAGAATGTGACCCATTTCAAAGTATATATATGTGTAGGAAAGTAACCCCTTTGCCTCTACTATCTAATTGGTACCGTTTTCCAGATGTGTAGTAGGAAGATGTGGAATTTTCTTCTGATTGGCTGGGGGCTGTCTGTGTCCTGCAAGAAAGGAATTTGCATCAAGTCTGTAGAAGCAAAACAATTTTCTGAAGGCAAGCATGGCCTGTATCAGTACTACCATCTTAAACAGGTCTTCTTGGCACCTTGCAAACAACTTTCTTGGCAACTGACCTTGTGGTTGCCAAACATATGTAATTCCTTCTACAGAGAGCAGGGGTTTTCTAAACAAGTTTGTAACCAATAATTCTCAAGTTTGCAACCCTATTCTTATCTGCTTGGTGTCACTAGGGATCTCAGCCTATAGCTTGTGAACTGTCATCAGAGCCCACAAGCTTCTAGCGCTAGTAGCGGTGGAGTTTAACCAGCTACTTTATTATTTGCATGATGGGTATGGGTCAATATGCAAAGGCTTTCTCTAGGCATCTCTTTAGGAAACAGAATATGATCCCCAAAATCTTGTATTTATACATTGTCCTGAAAGCCACCCAAAATATTTTACAACAGAAGTGCCTTTATCTTCAGGTGTCCTTAAAAGCCACAATGAAAGAATATCATAATGCAAAACATACTGACCTCCTTCTCAGAAGTGGAGACAGGCAGTGTAATTACGTGACACTTGCCATGTAATTGCACTCCTGGCTGAGAGGTTGACCAGCGTCTATCTGAACTTCACAGTGCTGAGCTGAGGTTCCAGCATAGCTACCATGTCAGACACCTGTAGCCCAGACCACTACATAGCTTTGACTCACAGTTGAATACCATACAATAGCAGTCTAAGTTGAAAAATTAACAATGTACGCATTTATCTTCCCCAGGGATGTGATGAGTTTAGGGATCACGTTGGTTGGTCATCAAAAGAAAATCATGAGCAGCATTCAGACTATGAGAGCACAAATGCTACATTTACACGGCACTGGCATCCAAGTGTGATAGACATTTCTCCCTTATGAGGGAGGTGACAGACTGAGAGAACAGCACTGGCCTTCAGTATATATGAAGTGCTGCTAGAAGACACTTGATTTCCTGGGTCCTTCCTGCAGTGAATAGAAGAGCTACAAGAAGCACCTACAGACTTGAACTCCTAAGTGCCACCAGAATTTATGAAAAGGGAATTAGGATCCACCAGTGGTGGCAAGGAAAACAGCAGTGACAATAAACAAAGTACTACCTGAATAAACATACAAACACCTTGAGCTCTCTAACCTCCTTTTTATCTAATAGACTTTTTAAATGTACATAAAAATTTAAAAAAGAATATATTTGTCAGATAAAATCATGATATTATTGTTGAATTCAACAAAATATTTTCCTTAAATCTGTGATTTCTGAATCTTTTTTTAATCATTTGTGTTTATTCTTCATAAAGACTTTCTTTTAGTATGATGTTTATATCTTTGGACCTTTTTAGTGCTAATTCTATGACACATTACTACACTGGGTACCTCTGAAGGATTATTTGAGTTCCTAGAGATTCAAGAAGCATGACCAAGCAATGTATATCTATCCAAACTTTGGTATCCTTTTGTGCCATTTACTTTTGTTAAATCAGCACCGTATTGACATGGCTAGCTAATTGGCAGGGAGTCAGGAAAATGCAAGTTGCCAAGAGCTCTGATATTTTTTAAAGAATTTTTTAAGGTTACACATATACTATCTTTTAAAAGAAAATAAAAGAGAAAAAAAAAAGTAAAGAAAAAGAAAAGCAATAATGACCCCTAAGTAGTTCTAGGCACTTTTAGCAAATTGTTTGCAAGATGATTTTAATGGGCTAGAGTTAAACTGAGATATATTCTAAGATGTAGGTCTACAACTGTAAACCTGCTGAGACACTTCATTGAATGGACAAGTGATTGTAGGAGTGTCTCAGAACACAGGTGCAGTTCTCCAGCGTTACCTAAACCATTTAATCTGAGTGCATCACATTTTTTTTCAGTACTCCGCATTAGCAAATCGAGAGAAATAGCTGGTGTATATTTTCTGTGAGTTTAAGCCGTATGCAGTCCAGCTGTCAGAATAAGGGCATATGAGAACTTTAGAGCATGAGACAAGGGGCAGTTCAAAATTTTCAATTTTTTAACAAGCTTTTGCTGCTCTGAATGAACATGCGTATGACACAACAGTCATTCATCAGGAACAGAGATGCAAGGGTTGTTGCTCAATGGAATATGTTTTTACACCATTTACTTATATATGAATTTTGTTTGATTAAAATATTTAATTACCGTAAGCAATAATGAATATTTATGAATTTATGAGTATTGCAAGAATGTATATGAACTGGAGAGAAATGCTTTAAAAAAAAAATCTGAAAATTGTGAACTACCCCAGCAATGAAATGCTGTACTTCCAAAGAGAATTGGGCTGCTTCTATTGATTTTGATAGAGAAAGATCCCAGGGATCAGTCATAAATTGGTCTGGTTTGATAATGTGGGCATCCACACAAAAAAAATAAAAATAAAAGAAAAACCTTGTAAATGTTCCTTTGTAAAACTTGTAAATTTTATTTATACTGTCTTGTTTTGTACACACATTTATGTGTAGTGAGCTCTGACTACATTGAAAATGCACTATATTTTTCTATTTTACTTGCAGAGCATCACAAACAAACATGTATATTCAGTGCTACATAATGTGTTTTCCCACATTTAGGACCAAAGATAGTTATCAAAAACTTAAATGCATCATTTTCCCCCTCCTTTTTTCTCCCCCTTTTTAGATCACTGTACAGTGTTATATTTGTCATTTTATTTATTTGATTGATTAGAAAAATCAGTTTGGTTATACTAATTTTTTGTCCCCCCCGCCTTTGTTGAAGAAAATCTGTAAAAAGCTTTTAACAAACGTAATCCCGTTACATAGACACTTCCATTTGTAATCTTTGTAATAGACTGTAAATATATTTTTGGAACTATAATGCAATGTGCATAAGGGTTATTTTTCAGTGTCCATATATGATTGTTTATACAATTCACAGCACTTTACAGTCATGCTGAGAAGCCTAATTTATTGCCTGGGTTTGGGCAGAGTAAGAAAAAAGGTGACTATTCTTATTTCATATTAGACTGTCATTCAGTAGAAATGGAGTTATTTTCATGTATGCAGCTCAAGATGGTTTTTTAACTATTAAAATTAATTTTCTAGAAATGCTGTAGAAGTAAGATGCAGAGTAGACTGCATGCCCAATATTGAAATTAGTGCACGCAAGCACTTGGCCAAGGCGCTTCAAGTAGCCATTGGAACACAACTAATAAACATCCATTTTGTGTTTTAACAAATGATAAGTGCCTCACTACTGGGGTGAGCATCTGTGGGCAACTGCGCAGGGTGCATGTCGGTTTTGCTGCTGCTCTAGGCACCCAGCTAAGAATTTAGGAGTCTTAAGTTCAGACACCTGCTTCCTTATAAATCTCGGCTACTGTTTCTAAGGGCTTGGTGATTAAAGGTGCGGTGCGGCAATGCTGGTATTGCTGAGAACCTACAAACCCTAAATGCAAAAGAATTGAGGACAGGCTTCACCTTTAGAACTTGTTCAATATTCTGAAGCACAGAGACCTCAAAGCATGTGTGGTGACTTGGGCTCACACATGTACAAGTGAGAGCCCTAATGGTGTTTCTTCCTTAATTTTCCTTGTTTGATTTAAGCCATCTTCTTTGAATAGGAAATGTATTTTAGCATTCATCTATATACCTTGACTGCCTTAATGTTGCCACAGATTTTTACACATTTGAAAGTGGTAGAGTAGACCCAGAAAGCACAATCGCGATCAATCGCAATCAATCAGATAATTTATCTATATGTTTGGAACATTACAACAATTTAAAGCACATGCATGCATAAATGGATTTGTAGCTGGTAGAGCAGCAACATATTCACATTGGTTGCAGTTCCCCAGGTTCCAGGAAAACACAGTCCAGGGTAAGAAAAATAAAGTGCCAGAGGAAGTTGATGTTCATGGGAGGAATGGAAGAAAAAATTGGGTCAGGGGGATAATTAAAGGATAAATGATGAAAAAAAAAAGTTATCTCAGTTCTGGCTTCATTTCATTGCGTTTGGAAATTGTGCATTGCTAACGACAGATTATCAGGCTGTCAGTGAGGCTGTTCCTTCTTGTCTTTATCACCTACAAGCATCTAGAAGAGAGATGCCTAAAAAAAAGCAGGATGAATCTCCCTCTGGGAATGCTTATCTCCATTAACTGTAGAGGGAATCCAGATGATTAGCTTAAATTAGGTGTCTAATATCTATATAGTTAAAGTTAGGTAAAGTGATTCCTACACTATATGTCCTTGGCTGCTACAATTTCCCTTGCAAGCTGAGTGTCATAGAAAGGCAGCTCCTCCACCACTGGTATATCCGAGAATGTATTTAAACTGGGCTTTGTCACAGAGAGAGGTGATTTTTTTTTTTTTATTCAGAGATTTGTAACAGGTCATCTAAATGCTTTTTGTATATGGATATCAATTCTTGAAAATTTTGTGATTATTCTGAGGAAGACCTGCCTAGTAAATTACAGTTATTTAATATTTTAAAGAATCAGAAGTATTTGCTGACATACTGCTTTAGTCCAGAGGTTATGTGATCAGATATGATAGCTGCTGTTTGCAAAACTGTGTTTATCTAAAGCCTTGTCATGTAAAAATCTCC